TAGATTATGATTTCTTTAAATGGCTGAGAAAATAACTGTGCTGAATAGAATGAATATTCCTGTCTGTGTGTCTTTTTTGTAACTTAAGGTTTTGCGTAGAGGGATTGTCTATGTTTTGAATCTAATTACCCTGTAAGGTATCTACCATCCTGATTTTACAGAGGTGATTCCTTTACTTCTATTAAAAGTCTTCTTGTAAGGAAACTGAATGCTTTTTCATTGTTCTAAGATCCAAGGGTTTGGGTCTGTGGTCACCTATGCAAATTGGTGAGGATTTTTACCAAACCTTCCCCAGGAAGTGGGGTGCAAGGGTTGGGAGGATTTTAGGGGGAAAGATGTGTCCAAACTATGTTTCCCAGTAAACCCAGATAAAGTTTGGTGGTGGCAGTGAAAATCCAAGGGTAAAATAATTTTGTACCTTGGGGAAGTTTTAACCTAAGCTGGTAAAAGTAAGCTTAGGAGGTTTTCATGCAGGTCCCCACATCTGTACCCTAGAGTTCAGAGTGGGGAAGGAACCTTGACAACATGTCGAACGAATGTATAGCATCCTTAATCTTTTTCTTAAACTTAAAATTCTCCATGGATTATAGCTAAACTCATGCCAAGCCATTCAGCCTGGAGAAACTAGAAAATTCTTTGTTGATTTTCACTGAGAAAGAAAAATTTCATTTAACAGGCATGAAAATGTTAACTCACTAACATTACTAAAGGGATGCAACTCCCAAATGCCAGTACTCATTCACCTTCTGAAACACTCCCATAATCAATAGTTGGGGGATATGGGACTCAGGCTTAGCCCCTGCCCCAAAATGATGTCGATAAGATTGAAATGGAGGAGAAAGAGGACCTGGAATTATATAGAAAATTTGGGCATTTCTTTTAAGTGTCTAAGTACCATTTTAGGAGCCTAACTTTAGGCACCCAATTTTGAAAATCTTCCATGATTTTGTGTTTCCTTATTCTAGGTGAGCATGAAAGCAGGAGTGGTGAAATAGCATAATAAGACTATACTCACAGAGCTTCTAGCTCACTTAGGGTCAAGAGGTATAGGTTCACAATTTTGTTCTCAACTTTACAAACACAAGAGGCTAAAAGCAACCCTGTAATAACCCCAATAATCTTCATGGGGTTATACCAGGTATGAAATTGGCCCTTTAAATTTGGTATGTGAAAATACTATGAAAAATTACCAACAAAGACAACCAAGCAAAAAAAGCAGGCCCCGCAGAGTTCAGAATTAGTTATGCTAAAGCCAACATTCTTGAAACCATCAAGCAGGAATAATCACATTAGAAGGCAAAAATATCAAGAAATAGAACAGCTCATCTACCTGAGCAGCACCAGGTTGGCCAATGGAAACCTTAAGAAGGAAGTGACGTCAAGGATAGGAAAGGCATCCACAGCATTTACTAAACTTAATAATGTAGAAATCAAAGATACATGGAACAATCAGAATCGGAACAAAACTGAGAATTTTCAATTCAAATGTAATCTCAGTGCTAACATATGGCTGTGAGATCTGAAGATCTACTAAGATGTTAGTCAAAGAAATAGATGCCTTCAAAAACCAGTGCTTATGAAAAATTATGATCATTGGTTCGAAAGACTTCATTACCAATAAAAAAGTTCTTTCCACCAGAAACAGAAAGAAGTACTGGACATATTTGGGGCATGTACAATACACAGATTCCCACATGATGCTGTCGAGTGGAAACCAACTGGTATGAGGAAACAAGAGCATTCAAGAGAATCCTTAAGAAGAACCCTTAATAGGGAGGGCAGAACAGCTGATCTCAGCACCACTGAGCAGAAGAAAGCAACAGCAAATGACAGAGAGGAATGTAAAAGACTAATTGCTGCCCTGAGCGCCAACACTGGCTCAGTAACTATGTAATGTAAAGCATATGCCATGCCTGTACATAAAGTGAGGCACAAAATATTTAAAGTATTGGTCATTTAATTTATTCATTTATTTAAATTTATTAAAAATTCATAAACCCAAAACTTTGAGTGCATGTACAAAATATTAATAGATGATCCATGAATGTAATGAAATAATGTGATATACAGCTCAAAGCCACAGAAAGCTACTTTGTAAGAGGGGAATTACTGCATATTGTAAGCCCCAGGACTCTCCAGAGATTGGTTTTTTGTTTTGTTTTGTTTTTGTTTCCTCTGACCTTACCTAGTAACAGTAAACCTGTGGAAAATAACTTTTTTCTCAAACATGCAAGGTAGCTTTTTATAAACCTTCCCTCCCTCCCCCCAATCCCACACTCCCTTACTTGGCATGCCTAACAGGAGTGCAGTGTCTACTCTAAAATATCTTGTTATTAGGATGGAGCTTTATGGTCCATTAGGTTAGTTCAATGCAAAACACAGATTTATTTGAAGAGGCTTCAATCAGAAAATTTGAAAAGCAGCTTACCATCTCAAGCCTTTAAAAAAAATCATCTGACCTGATGAGACAAATCAAGACCACAGTGGTGATTTAATGGAGCAATCGGCAACATGTCAGATCTGATTGATGTGTCCCTTCAGAAACCTGACAGGTGATTTGATCCTCCTTGGTGCAGACAAATCTTCCCCTGAAGACCCTATCGCTAACACAAGCTGTGGAAAGACTTTTCTAGTCAACTGTCTTTTATTTTGTCCTTGAATTGAGGTGATTTTTTTTGTTCAACCCTTTTGCTTTGATTTGAATAGTATTGTCCAGACCTAAAGATGTTATTTATGACATAGCATAGCACTTACCTTTCAAAATGTCAAATGTTTAGTCAGGTAGTAAAAAGCTGTTTCTCTGTTAAGGCTAAGGAAGTAATAATGTAATTTTCACAAAACACTAGTTTTAATAGCCAAGAATGTGTTTTTTAAAAAATGAAATTTATACTTCGTACAGAATCAAGGAGCACATAGTTATCTTCTAGTCTGGGCTTTTAGCTGAGCTGATATGGAATGACCGCAGAGAAAGGCAGAGTGCAAATAACAAGCACAAATCAATTGGGTGCTCATTTTAATTCAAAAGGGATACAAATCATTCCACTCTAAGTGATCATTTGGTTGTACAAAGTGTGTATTTTTGAAAGCTTTATTGAAAAGTGTCATAAAAATTATATTTTTAGCTTCTGTCAATGTAAACTACATGAGTTTCTTTGTTGCCTCCGAATCTGTATATTTTAAAAGCTCCCAGTCCTCTCTGCTTTCACAGTTCATTCTCAGCCTTCTCTATAGAAATCATTTTCATGCTTAAGTATATATCCTAATTTGATGTACCAGGCTACAAATGCACAACTGTTGTAAGCACTAATAGAGATTGCCCTATTAAGCCAGGAACATCATAAAATATTATAAATAATTTGCCGTATACATTAATATTTATTATACAACATTTTTATATTAATGTTTATATAATACTGGGTATATAGTATAAACAAATATAAATAAACATTTCATAAATGAGCATGTTCCTTAGAATCAAATTAGTAGCATAGATTCTTCCCTGTGTCAGGGCAACTTTGCTTCTCTCCGCTGATGCAAAGTAGCCCTACAACTGGCAACGCTGGGAAGGGAAGGATCACTCCTGTGTAGAGGGATCCTCTGAGGACATAGAATTGATCTAATGGTGACTACACCACCTCCTCTTCCTGTGATTAACATACAAGCTGTTGCTGTGGAAAAGGGGGGCCTGACTCCAGCAATGTCTAGCTGTTCTAGTCATCAGTAGTCATTGCAATTAGCAACCAACATTGCTTAGAGCAGACTGCAGGGACAACTTGGAACCAGTCTGGCATACATATGGCCCAGGGTCAGAAGAGCTCAAAGGTGGATTATTGTTTCATATTCTCTGTGTGTATATAAAGTCTGCTGCAGTTTCCACGGTATGCATCCGATGAAGTGAGCTGTAGCTCACGAAAGCTCATGCTCAAATAAATTGGTTAGTCTCTAAGGTGCCACAAGTACTCCTTTTCAAATTTGCCTCTGACTCTTTGAGTTGACCTGTATGCTCTTTAGCTGCAGCCTGTGACCAGGACCATTGTCTATACTAATATGTGCTCAAAAGCCAGATACAATAACAAGGGTGGTGAGAACCTGTGTATTGCATATATTAATTTCTATTTCACATATGTTTGCAAGGAAGTAATTTCTGTTAAAAAGCCTCATGCTTGTAGAGAGAATTGGGAAGAGAATGCCAAAACACATTTCCTTCTCAAAGTCAGGTCTACATGGTGTTTATTTTTCTTTGTGGAGTATAAGAAAAAGTCTGTTTAACCTCTGAGAAATTGAACAAGGTAATCATTTGTAATGCATTAGCAGTAATATGAAAGTTCATATAAAGTATGCGTGATCTGAATCACGAGCCTGGTAAGGTCACATCTTTTTAATGATGTCAATTAGCAATTAAAATTAACTCAAGGGGGTTATTTGTGGAGGAGGGGAGCTAATCTTTAAATGTACCAGTTGCAGAACTTGCATCCAATCCCAGTCTGACTGCTTTATTAGAATGTGTTTGGTGTGCTTCCCTAACAAAAATCAATTTTAACACCTCTCTGCAAACAATTTATTTTCTGTAATGATCATTTTCATTTTTAATTATAAACTTAATGTATCAGTGTAGCAAGAAACAATTGGAGATTAGAAGAATATGGTTTACTTTGAAAATGTACATGTAATTGAAAAGTGTTATTAATTGAATAATAATGGATTCAAAAATATATTATATTTTACTGTTATTAAAAACATTTATAAGTTACCCATCATCAGAATATCTAGACACACTGTACTGGCTTAAAATGAGTATTAAATATCCTACATAAGAAGAACAAAACACCATGATCCCTTGCTGCCCACATGTTTTAGAAAGAGAATGAATATGGAGCTGGTCAGTCAGCTAGAAACCTGTTTACTTCAATAGGGCCAGTATTTCACATCTAAAATTTAGTGTAATCATCTAGAAAAGGTCACAGCAAAGAAAAACAGCTGCAACCTTCTTCTGTTTATAGGGCTAGAGTCTGGAAGATGCTGAGTGCACTCAGCTGTCATGGATATCAGTAAGTGTTGGGTAATCCTCATTTACTAGTGTTGTATCATACAGAACAATTTCAATTTGGATTGAGTATGCATAGAGATTGCCAACATTTTGTGTACAACTAGAAAGTAGAACAAAACCCGTTGCCATAGTGTAAAAGGACAACATTGAGGGACAGTTATTTAATTTTTGCAAGTTAATTCAGCTCTCACCTTTGTTACTAATGGCATTTTTGCCTTACCTATAGGCAGAAAAGCTCAAAGGAGGACTGCCTTGTCAATACTCAATGTGAGGTATCCTGTCTTGACACCCTGTTGATGTATGTCACATATAGTATAGTTGTGAGGCTTAATGTTTGTGAAGTGCTTTGAGATTGTTTTATGAAAGACACCATAGAAGAGGAAAGTAGTTGTGAGTAACAATTTTGTTAGGAGGGATATTGTGCTAATTCAGGACGTAGTATATCCATCTCACTAAAGCATAGTTACTACTGACAGTTGGGCAAGAAAGTAATCGTGGAACACTTGTTAATAGAAAAGCATGAATATGTTTGTATGTAAGAGCAATAACTTGTCCTGATATTATTGGAGACCCCCTCCCTTATAATATTTTATTTTTTATTAATTTTAATTAACATTTTACATTTTATTAAATTTAACTTTATTAAATACATTTTATAAATATGTTTTATACCTAATTTTTACATAAATATTTAGTATAAATATTTGGTTAATGTAGCTTTGAGTCAAAAAGCCCCTGAAATTGTGCATATAGCAAAATAGGGAGATATGCTCCTATCTCTGTTGTATCTAGTGGTCTAGTAAACTGTGTATGAGACAACTTTCCAGGTATTCCTAAAATTATAATCTACACTCTGACACTGACTCTGTCTTTGGCTTGAGCAAATCAAGTATAGTCTTTGCATTTGGGAACAAAAAGGAGCTAATATTACTTACCTGCCTCCTAGGCACATCACGAGGATTAATTAGTTAATGTTTGTATAGCTCTTTGAAGACGAAAAGCTCTGTTTAGGTACTAACTGTTATTTTTATGTGCTAAATGGTTATTGTATGGTGGTGCTTCTGGCAATGCAGCTGTTCAACTTGGAGTTACAGTATTTTTTTCTCTGTGTTTTAGGGTTCATGACACAGTGGGTGCAGTTGCTATAGACTGTGAAGGTAACATGGTTTGTGCAACATCAACTGGAGGCATCACAAACAAAATGGTTGGACGTGTTGGTGACACCCCAGTCATAGGTATGAAAAGATTTAGAACAATTAGCAAACAATAAAAATATTCAAACACTTTTGGAACGCATAAATGCTGATGGGAAAGCAAACTGGTTAAGGGAAAGTATAGACATGATGATTAAAATTGTGGTGACAGGTTTCAGAGGGGTAGCCGTGTTAGTCTGATCAGCAAAAAAACAAACAAACAAGGAGTACTTGTGGAACCTTAGAGACTAACAAATTTATTTCAGCATAAGCTTTTGTGAGCTAAAACCCACTTCATCAGATGCATGCAGTGGAAAATACAGTAGGAAGATATATATGCACAGAGAACATGAAAAAATGGGTGTTGCCATACCAACTGTAATCAGTTAAGGTGGGTTATTATCAGCAGGAGGAAAAAAAACTTTTGTAGTGATAATCAGGATGGCCCATTTCAAACAGTTGACAAGAAGGTGTGAGTAACGATAGGGGGAAAATTAGCATGGGGAAATAGTTTTTACATTGTGTAATGATCCATCCACTTCCAGTCTTTATTGAAACCTAATTTCATCCAGACCACATCACATGATCCATTGTCTACAGCCAAGCTCTAAGATACAACTGCATTTGCTCCAATCCCTCAGACTGAGACAAACACCTACAAGATCTCTATCAAGCTTTCTTACAACTAATACAACTACAAAACCCACCTGCTGAAGTGAAGAAACAGATTGACAGAGCCAAAAGTGTACCCAGAAGTCACCTACTCCAGAACCGGCCCAACAAAGAAAGCAATAGAATGCCACTAACCATCACCTTCAGCCCCCAATTAAAACCTCTCCAGTGCATCATCAAGGATCTACAACCTACCCTGAAGGACGATCCCTCACTCTCACAGATTTTGGGAGACAGGCCAGTCTTCACTTACAGACAGCCCCCAACCTGAAGCAAATACTGACCAGCAACCACACACCACACCACAAAAACACTAACCCAGGAGCCTATCCTTGCAAAAAAGCCCATTGCCAACTCTGTCCACATATTGATTCAAGGGACACCATCATAGGACCTAATTACATCAGCCACACCATCAGAGGCTCATTCACCTGCACATCTACCAATATGATATATGCCATCATGTGCCAGAAATGCCCCTCTGCCATGTACATTGGCCAAACCAGACAATCTTTACGCAAAAGAATAAATGGACACAAATCAGACGTCAAGAATTATAATATTCAAAAACCAGTCAGAGAACACTTCAACCTCCCTGGTCACTCAATTTCAGACCTAAAAGTCTCAATTCTCCAACAAAAAAACTTCAGAAACAGACTCCAATGAGAAACTGCAGAATTGGAATTAATTTGCAAACTGGACACCATTAAATTAGGCTTAAATAAAGACTGGGAGTGGATGGGTCATTAGACAAAGTAAAAACTATGCTAATTTTTCCCCTACTGTTACTCACACCTTCTTGTCAGCTGTTTCAAATGGGCCATCCTGATTATCACTACAGAAGTTTTTCTTGACTTTAGCAAAGCTTTTGACATGGTCTCCCACAGTATTCTTGCCAGCAAGTAAAGAAGTATGGGCTGGATGAATGGACTATAAGGTGGATAGAAAGTTGTCTAGATTGTCGGGCTCAACGGGTAGTGATCAATGGCTCCATGTCTAGTTGGCAGCCGGTATCAAGTAGAGTGCCCCAAGGGTCGGTCCTCGGGCCGGTTTTGTTCAGTATCTTCATAAATGATCTGGAGGATGGTATGGATTGCACCCTCAGCAACTTTACAGATGACACTAAACTGGGAGGAGAGGTAGATACGCTGGAGGGTAGGGATAGGATACAGAGGGACCTAGACAAATTAGAGGATTGGGCCAAAAGAAATTTGATGAGGTTCAACAAGGACAAGTGCAGAGTCCTGCACTTAGGATGGAAGAACCCCATGCACTGCTACAGACTAGGGACCGAATGGGTCGGAAGCAGTTCTGCAGAAAAGGACCTAGGGGTTACAGTGGACAAGAAGCTGGATATGAGTGAACAGTGTGCCCTCGTTGCCAAGAAGGCCAATGGCATTTTGGGATGTATACGTAGGGCATTGCCAGCAGATCGAGGGACGTGATCGTTCCCCTCTATTCAACATTGTTGAATCCTCATCTGGAGTACTGTGTCCAGTTTTAGGCCCGACATTACAAGAAGGATGTGGAAAAATTGGAAAGAGTCCAGCAGAGGGCAACAAAAATTATTAGGGGACTGGAACACATGACTTATGAGGAGAGGCTGAGGGAACTGGGATTGTTTAGTCTGCGGAAGAGAAGAATGAGGGGGGATTTGATAGCTGCTTTCAACGACCTGAAAGGGGGTTCCAAAGAGGATGGCTCTAGACTGTTCTCAGTGGTAGCTGATGACAGAACAAGGAGTAATGGTCTCAAGTTGCAGTGGGGGAGGTTTAGTTTGGATATTAGGAAAAACTTTTTCACTAGGAGGGTGGTGAAACACTGGAATGTGTTACATGTGAAACACTGGAATCTCCTTCTTTAGATATTTTTAAAGTCATGCTTGGCAAAGCCCTGGCTGGGATGATTTAGTTGGGGATTGGTCCTGCTTTGAGCAGGGGGTTGGACAAGATGACCTCCTGAGGTCCCTTCCAACCCTGATATTCTATGATTCTATGATTCTCCTGATGATAATAGCCCACCTTAATTGATTAGTCTTGTTACAGTTGGTATGGCAACACCCATTTTTTCATGTTCTCCTTGTATATATATTTTCCTACTGTATTTTCCATGGCATGCATCCAATGAAGTGGGTTTTAGCCCATGAAAGCTTATGCTCAAATAAATTTGTTAGTCTCTAAGGTGCCACAAGTACTCCTCGTTTTTTTTTAAATTGTGGTGACACTTTTATTAGTTATAATTTCTTATTTGCTCACTGGTGACAGTGAGCTCAGCTCCATGCTTCTCTAACTTGCACTCAGGGCAGGGCAGAGAGAGAGAGAACTATAATTGGCTCTGGCATGTCTTCCTTTATCTGCTGTGCCCAGTGCAGGCTAGTTACAGCAAAGAATCTGGGCTACACTGAGCTGAACAGATCATGCTTTTAAACATTTGTATATTCAGACTGAATATTTATTGAAATACACATTTACAGCAGTGAGGGATTAGACCTGAAGACCTTACCAGATGTGAAAGAGAAAGTTTATATCCCCTTGAAATACAAGGAATGTACTTCATATGGAAATTTTACTCAAGATGTGAACCGGGCACCCTGTTTCAGCAACTGACACCTCTGGTTTTAAATTTCTTACCTGTACAATGGTGTTTAAATTTCAGTTGTTTAACAGATTCAGAAAATAATATTGCCACGAACAACTTAGCTTATAAATGTGTTCTGGGATTAATGTATTTACGGGATCACAATAAATTACAGCTGATGGGGAAGAAGCTGAGTAACAAAAAGGGGATGGCAATACCACTCTGAACATTTTGACCTTGGATTGGCTGAACTGTATACTCCTGGTTTAGGCGTGATTAATATTTTATCGGGTTGCTACAGGGGAATAATGAATCTTTGCGGTTTGTTACTACTCTATATAACCCTATGGTACACCCACATCTTGAATACTGCGTGCAGATGTAGTTGCCCCATCTCAAAAAAAGATATATTGGATTTGGAAAAGGTACAGAGAAGGGCAACAATAATCATTAAGGGTATGGAACAGTTTACACATGAGGAGAGATTAATAAGACTGGGACTTTTCAGCCTGAAAATGAGACGACTAAGGGGGATATGATACAGGTCTATAAAACCATGACTGTGTGGAGAAAGTAAATAAGGAAGTGTTATTTACTCCTTCTCGTAACACAAGAACTAGGGGTCACAAAATGAAATTAATAGGCAGCAGGTTTAAAACAAACAAAAGGAAGTATTTCTTCACACAATGTACAGTCAACCTGTGGAACTCTTTGCCAAAGGGTTTGTCCTGCTTTGAACAGGGGGTTGGACTAGATGACCTCCTGGGGTCTCTTCCAACCCTGATATTCTATGACTCTATGATTCTACGTTGTGAAGGCCAAGGCTATAACAAGGTTAAAAAAAGAAATAGATAAATTCATGGAGGATGGGTCCATCAATGGCTATTAGCCAGGGCAAGCAGGGATGGTGTCCTTAGCCTCTGTTTTCCAAAAGCTGGGAACGTGCGACAGGGGATGGATCACTCAATGATTGCCTGTTCTGTTCATTCCCTCTAAAGCACCTGGCATTGGTCACTGTCGGAAGACAGGATACTGGGATAGCTGGACCTTTGGTCTAACCCATTATGGCTATTCTTATGTTCTCTGTTGTTTCAGTGTATTTTAATGTTTGGCATGGGGGCTTAGAGCAGTGGTTCTCAAAGCTGGTCTGCCGCTTGTTCAGGAAAAGCCCCTGGTGGGCCGGACCAGTTTCTTTACCTGCCGCGTCCGCAGGTTCGGCCGATCGCGGCTCCCACTGGCCGCAGTTCGCTGTTCCCCCATTGGCTAGGAGTGGCGAACCTTGGCCAGTGGGAGCTGCGATCGGCAGAACCTGCAGACGCGGCAGGTAAACAAAGCGGTCCGGCCTGCCCTGGGCTTTCCCTGAACAAGCGGCAGACCGGCTTTGAGAACCACTGGCTTAGAGGAAGCGAACTGTAATGCATAGTTAACTAAAACTATATACTGACTAAGATCATAGAAAGTCTATTGCAATTGTCACTGTGTAGGAAGAAAGAATAAGTGTTTTCAAAAACTGAGAGTAGGGCAATACCTTTTAGTTATCTCACTTCTGAAACTACTAAAAGGAAAAAAAACGGTGATGCAAATTCAGACGTGTATTTTTAATGTTACATTTTTAGTTCAATGAAATCATCATAATATTTGTATAAAACCACAGCAAACTAGCTGTCAAAATGCAGCCGGTGCTTGTCAGCAGACTGAGGCTTACACACAGATTGACTGAGACACACAACAGAGAGCGCATGCTGCAAGCCAGACAGTCTGCTTCTCCCAGACAGGGCTTAGCTCAGCAGACA